TTGGTTGATACAGACACAACGTTTCGACCAAGTACCCCTGGCCATTATCAGATGTCCATTTACTTGTTGATATGGAATATCTGTTGGTCATTGTTATATTTTGTCCCTGTGATATCAATTATTGTTCATCCCTGCTGAATTGGGGCGTCAATACCAAATCCAAGGATTGAATTCGTGTCCACTCTTCCACATGGAAAATTGTCGCAAGCTGTGTTTTCACTGTGTCCGGAAAATCGAAGTCTGTTAAATATCTATATTTGTGTGAGTATTATTAGCAGATGCCTTTGCTTATAATCTGTAAGGCAGTCAAAACCGCCCAACTTAGAAGATTGACACTATACTCACTTCAACTCCCATTCATTTGAATGAGCAGCAGGTTTATAGTAAAAATTAGCCCTTTTCAAGCATGAATCATTTGTCCTTTACTGAATAACTTTAATATTGGTTGAAATGGATAAAATCTTTAGAATATTGGCGAGGGTTTCCTTCCAAACTTTCGGCTTTTACCTTGGGAAAAGTTAACATATTGATTATGTCATTTTTTTTTCCTTTACTTACATGGCTGGATGGCTGTGTAATATCAGTCCTCCTATATGGTACTAAATGCTTGACAATTGTCTCACAGATGAAGAGAAGTCTCGATACAACAGATACAGAAGGATGCTGAGAATACCATGAACGGTCCATGTAACTAACGTGGAAGTTTTAATGAAAATGGGAACAAAAGCGACACTTAGAAAAACAGCTAAGGCTTCTTAAACACATAAACGAGAATTTGACACTCACAGGATATACGAAAAGCAAGAAGGATACATTGAATAACCTACTTAACGAGCTTGTGGCAGAATCTGGACTGTAAAAAGAGATACACATTTGATAAGAGCTGCAAAGGATAGGAAGCTGTGAAGAGCCATGATTGCCCAAGACCTAAAGGGGCACGTCAGGAAACAGTTATATATGATACCCAGATGTCGCCGAAGACTTAACAAATTTTCTAGGTACGCAGTTTATTCTATTATGCATTTACTTTATATGTTTTATAATGCGTAGCTGTGTATTATGTAGGCAACGTTTTATCTTGCGAGATAATGGCAGCGCTAAGTTTGGTCAAATTTCATTTCTTTGGTGGTGAGACGGAATTGACTTCTCCGGTGCACACACCTGGGCAGGAGTATATGAAAATCAAGATACATGCCCCACTTTCGGCCACACCGACATTTGGAAACGGCCCCAAGAGTTTGCCGGAATGTTGTCAATATTAACAGGTAAAGCTTTGGAGCTTCAGGCTGGGTTTTCTATCTGGATTTATTTCCATAGATTTTTCTTATATGGATATGACTGCAAGGCAGACGTGGCTTAAATTAGGGGTTTTCCTTCGTTCTAGATGGAATGCTTGCTTGTGTTGTCGAGTTCCATCTACACGATCAGCTGACTATGAGGCGCCAATTGTCTGCCTTCGCCCATTCTCCAGCATGGTGCTGGGCTATTTGAGACACATGACACGGAAGTATTTTATAGACGCTGGGACCTTATTCTCAATATCATATCCGGCAATAACAACCTTTGGAACATATATAATGTACGTATATAAACATTATATACATACATATATATATATATATATATATATATATATATATATATGTATATATATATATATATATATATATATATGTGTGTGTATATATATATATATATATATATATATATATATATATATATATATATATATATATATATATATATATATATATATATATATATATATATATATATATATCCTGTTTTAAAAGCTCACAAAAATTAACATATATCTAAAGAATCAAGAAAGTCAATAACTCTCCGTGTAGCTGAGCACGCTATTCGTTTATAGTTACTTTGCCGTGTTTGTAACGTAACTGTGTGTGAGAAAACCGGAATTTATATGTGAATGGCGACACGTTAAATCTATTTGAGCTGTGTATGCAAACGTAGAACAGTTTTGTACAGATATGTCTGGTTATGTCTGTATTTTTGTCAGGGGTTGGGTGGGGACTGAACAGATGCTGCAGCAAAGATGGCTCTGTCGTGGTAGCAAGCATAAATGATGTAAACAATACTGTATTTGTTTGTTTGTTGTTTTTGTTTTTTTCCTCTTTTATTGTTCGTTTGCTTGCAGTGTGAAACCCGTAGCCGTAACTGAAATAATCTGTTTACTAATTAAAACATTAATATATATCGATCGTCTCTAAACATCGAACTACGTATATTTTCACCCCCCTCCACCTCTTCATATATTTTGTCATTTTTATTTTATTTTCTGTTTGTTTCATTTCGATTTCTATGTGTGTTCAATCCCGCTTACCTCTCAGATTTTACAAGTACATGAGCTCGTGAGCATTTAAAGCACCTCTAAGGAAACTATTAATTGTCAGAAGACAGAATGCGTGGTTGTCAGCAAGAGGAACTTGTAATATCAGTCCTCTTATATGGTAGTGAATGATGGACAATGTCCTCACAGATGAAGAAGAGGTAATAGAAATGAGTCTTTACAGAAGGATGCTGAGAATACCATGGACTGAACACGTGAGCAACTAGAAAATCGAAACAAAATGTACACTTATACTTAAAATCAAAAAAAAGATCGTTGAAATATTGAGGGCGCATAAAGAAGATGGAGAACTTGATCCTCGCATGACATACTGAAAACAAGAGTGACAGAGAACATCAGGGAATAATCTACCTAAAAGTTCGTGTAAATATTTGGTAGAACAGAGATTAGGAAAGACAGCAAAAAGATAGACTTTTACTAACAGCTTCAAATGACAAGAAGCTGTGGCGTGTTTTAATCGCCCACGTACTTGCAGAATGCACTTGTGGTGCAGAGTATTCGGAAGGAGTTGGATGAGTCTAATGGTGATTACGAAAATACAGTAACTCGAAAAACTCACTCTGATCGATTTGATAACAAACTCCCGAATTTGTTGGGGAAGACCTCAGACTTAACACGGAGGCCTTCATCAAGTGCCTTGAAGAGGTTTATACAGCCCTGGGTCAAGATGGCGTATGGTGGACGCCCCTATGCTTGGCCAAAGGACATTCCACCATACCACACAATCGAAAGAACCCAGACATGTCTTTCAGACAATAGTTGCAACCACATCAACCCTTAAATTTGGCCACCTAACTCCCCAGACTGCAAACACCCTCCCTTGACTATTATGTGTTGGGCGCAGTTGAGTGAGAGACCAACAAAACTCTTTGTAACACCAAATATGAACTAAAAGCAATGATTATGACAGAATTCAACAACTTAAAAAAGGAGACCGCCCAGAAGTCATTTGGAGGCCGTAGTTGAAGCCAATGGCGATTTTATTGAATAAATTTACTCTTCAGAGTCGGTCTATATTTCTGAGATGAGGTATTATGTACATTATTCGGACTATCCTCATATATATTTTCCTCATCTTTTTCGCCATATTTATCACTACGTTTCGGCCGCTGTACGCTCCGGCCTTCTTCGGGGGGTTGGAATGACGATCTGAACCCCTTATTTCGTTCACTGGGGTAGACTGTTCTAGTTCCACGTGCCATGCTTGATGGATGTCAGTTATCAGTTATCTCCTGTTAATTTCCCTCTGAAAGTTCTCCACTATCTTGACCGGGTATTGAACTCACACTCTTTTGGTTCTGTCACTGGATCTAACCAACACCTTTATCCACTGTGCCATGTGTCCATGTTTACTCTTTCGTATTTCAAGATAATTTTGTGTAATTTTGGTAAATATACCTGTTAAAATGAAATGTCACTGCTATCTTCATTTTTGCCTAATTTAGACGACAATTCATCAATTACACACTGCATATATATATATATATATATATATATATATATATAATTATTTATTTCAAAATTTTTTTAAATTTCGCTTGAAGATGGAACAGAGCTTAGTACTTTAATTCAATTTAATTCAAATAATTATACTGAAGTTTTCGGCTCTTGTTTTGAAACATGAGAACTCTTATATAGCGTGTTGGAATCATATTTTTAAATAAATAATTATATTTATGCTCTACTTTTTTATCGAGCACTATTTTTTAAAAATAATAATAAAAATACTAAAGAACTTTGGATTATTTACCTAACGAGTTCTTTTCCTATTTTCTATATTTTTCACATATATATATATATATATATATATATATATATATATATATATATATATACTGGATTCTCTCATCGTTTTTGGCGAATGAGAGTCAAGCAACTTAGTTCTTAGAACCAGAAGCCAGACTACCCGCACAAATCATTGGATGATAGTGGTGCAGAACCAACCACACATTTTGGAAGCGCCCAATACAGAGATCTGGTGCAGAGTATGTCACAAGATCCCCAAATGTTTCTCCATTATATATAATGAATTTATTTTTAATTACATAAGATGTAGTGAATACTTCGTATTTAAATTAGACGTCATATTTCTATTTATTAAAAGGTGGATAGAAGTAATATAGGCTGTTTAATGGTGATTCCATTTTAATTACGAATTATCCACTCTTATAACATTTGAAGTGATGAATAAATTTATATATATATATATATATGTGTGTGTGTATGTGTGTAACTAATTGGGTGTGTCGACAAATTGAAATCACAAGTGTTGAATCTTCATTACTTAATATTTTATTCAGTTCAGGATTTCATCAGTTACTTTCAGCCAGTTGTTGGTGCTTGTCCCAATATGTGGACCCTACATTCTCCGCTGCGATGTGTGAGAGCAAGCTCTTTACTTTTTTCTCTGAGTCTGCAAAACGGATGCCGACGTGAGATTACGTATTTCTCCACAGGACAATCGAGAGTAATCCTAGATCAAATTCCTTCTGGACCCAGCTACTTTGATGGACTACAATATCTATCCTGGCTCAAACCATATATATATATATATATATATATATATCATTAAACCTTAGGAGATGCTGGTTAGATTAATCACGATCTCGTTCTAACCAGTCTTTTCTTGTGTGAACATGTGTTTGAAAACTTATGATATAATTGTGCCTAGTTATAGTACATATATATATTTACGAGTCTGTCTTCTGTAATTAGACCTCACAACACTACCAATGATCTGGCATGTTAGCTTGTTGACCATCGCCCTATGGCAAGCATTCTATATAGATATCTTATTTTTACACTCAGCAGCATATCAATGCGGCTTGAATTAAATTGTTAATGGTATGCAAGATAAGTTTAATAATTCTTGCTCAACAGTAAACGCCCTTTGTGTATGTACATATGTTTAGTAAGGAACGCTTTTGGTTGGGTTAGCGGGTTATAATATATCAACCCTTTTTGGTTTATTTAATGTAGAAATCTGTTGTTGTTTTTTTATTATCCTTGAGCGTTTTGGTAAATATTATTTGATTTTTATCAACGCGATAGTATCGTCTGGGTTTTGTCGTTTTTTTTTTTTTTTATCAACGCGAAGGTTAAAAGTTTTTATCCGCGTGAGAATACTGTCGGAGGTTGTTCGGCGTTTTTTATTTATTCACCCAAATGTATCGTCGAAGGTTGGCTTTTTTTGTGTTTTTTTATTGTTTTGTTTGTTTTTTTTGTTTTGTTTTTTATCCACTGGAATATATCGTCGGAGGTTGGTCGTTTATTTTTTTTACTTTTTTTTTTTTTTATACACGCGAATGTATCGTTGGAATTTTTTTCTTTCTTTCTTTTTTTATCCACGATAAGAGAGTATGGTCAAATGATTTATCTTGAGAGTACCTCATTTTTTTTTATATCCACGTGAGATTATCGAATTTGCCAGGAAATTTAAATGTTCATATTTTCCCATCCTACCCAATGTTATTCGAAAGTTTCTCGTTTTTATTTCCCACTTTTTCCCAACCTGCCCGTTTATTCCTCTTTGTTTATTCGAACCTCTCTTTTATCCAATCCATTTTCCCTCCTTTATTGTTCTAAAAACAAATTCATTTTGAGCGAATCTTTCAACAGACCCTACAATTTCTGACTTAAGATTCGATATTTACCACTCTCATTTATTAAGCAGTAACGATCAACTACACAAATAATGGCTTCTTTCATTCGATTATTTTAGATAGTTTCAGCATATTTTATCAAAGTTATTGTAAAACAAATTGCAGTCTGAAGTTATTGACCAAAACCAGAAAATCACTTTTTACTTCAATAACAAATTAATAAATTCATCAACACATAATATAACGAATGTATGATAAGTCTTTGTAGCATTTACATCTTAATAGTTCTCTTCACAATAACAGCCAGCAATCCATTGATTTTCTTTTTTTTTTTTAGTTCAGCTGGTTCAATTTCCGTCATGGTGATTTAATGACCTGCTTAAGAGTATACTCCAATCATTAGTGAGTATCTATGTGGATGATACAGCAGTTTAGAAGTACAACTTCAGAAATTTGGAAGACCAGAATCTATCAGTTCATCTTTCTTCTGACCTTGTCCAATCAGGAAAGGATTAGCTTGCAAAAATTCAATTCAAACAAAACCAAAAAATAACGTTTACCACCACCGAGCAGACCCCGAACTGTCACCTATCATGATAGATTGATGTTCTCTCACTGTGGCTCCTTGCCTTGAACTTCTATTGGAATTCAAGCTCTCTCCAACTCCCGTCTATCCTACTTTTAGTAGGACAGACTGGGTTCTTTAGCCTTGGCAGCCAACATGTAAAGGAGAAGGAGCATTCTGAATACAAAACTGTATGGAGCCGTGGCAATGCACATATTATGCAGCTAAAGAAAGAGAACCCAGTCTGTTCTATCGAGTCTGTTCTATCGAGTCTGTCCCTGCTAAAGATAATGTGCAAATGTTAGGTACATTGTACCGCCCTATAAGTATATGCCACCCCCTGCAGTAAAAAAAAGGTAAGGAGCGTAGCAGGGATCACTGAGTCAATGCGAACAATCATTTTCTTAGAGGCATAATATGTGCTTCGCCAAGGTTACATACAGCTTAGAATTAAAAATGTTCCTTCTCCTAGACCGGTCGCCACCCAAGTCTATAGCTTTCTTTCTTTCTGTCTATCTATCTATCGATCTATTTACCTGTCTGTCTCTTTTTCTCGTATAAGGAATAAAATTAAATGTTCATTTATCTGCCCCTACTATGAGTTTCACAAAGATTACACGCACACGCCAGAGGTTTGAATATAAAATTCAATTTTGAAATCAACTGCCTTTCCGAAGAGATGTAATCTCCACGACACTCATTCATTTTTCACTATTAACGGCATATCTCTCGATATCGAACGCGATAATTGCAAAAAAGCTGCTTGCCTTAAAACAGTATCTTCTAGAAATAACCCGCACGATCGTTTTGTTTGTTTTTTGGGGGTTTTTTTTGGGGGTGGCAAACATAATTGTATATATCTATTAACACATTTCCTCTCTCTCTCTCTCAATCGTTCTCTTTGTTCTCTTTGTCCCTGTCTCACTATATATATATATATATATATATATATATATATATATATATATATATATATATGGTATGTGTGTTTTGAATTCAAAGTGTTCCTTCACCTAGACCGGTCGCCACCCAAGTCTATAGGGCCCAGTCAGTCCTACTATTTACCCATAGCTGAGGGGAGAAATTTCGATCCGTACTCCGTAAGTAGACGTAACGAACTCGACTGGAATTCCGATTCCTCAATCGGAGCCGTTATCCATTACTCTACTGTGTCTTCTAAGCAGTCTTTGTTTATGTGCCATATCTTTTCAGGGTATCGGTGATCATGACGCTCTACAACTTCCTCCCCTTTGTAATTCTAAGCAATACTCCCTTCCTTTTTTTTCCTTTCCAATACCAATCCTGACACCCATTTCACAATCTCGTTAGTTACGTTATTTATTGTTTTGCTCTACCGCCTTGCATTTACCGCCTTGTGTGTGTTAACTTTTCCAAGCCCTTTTTCCTTATTAGCTGTCCCTGAAATTTCATCTGTTTCTTTGTGAGTGATGTTTTGATAGTCATTTTCCTTTAAGCTCCTGTCCTGTGTTTGATGATAAACTACAACCGACATTAAGGCCTCTGATCGGGGATTTGTGAAACGTGGAACCACCTCTTAACTGGTGTTGTTCCCAGGTTCATCGTAACCGGCGGTGTAAGCAACTGTTACAATTCCAACTATGGGCTAATAGTGACTCCCTTCCAAAACCGTGATCAAAAGACTATGAAAGTATAAAATAAATTTGTATAGTAAAAATACCAGCATTAGTAAAACAAAAAAAAAAATTACCAAGGCACAAGAAAATTAAATTTCGTTTATTGACATGCCGTTAAACAAACAAACCAACCAACCAATCTTAAAACTCATCGCTCGCATTTTCAAATCTGCGATAAAAGCTTGTCTGAAGTCATTCTACGGTAGGCACCCACTGTGTAGAATTTTCTACATGATTTGAAGTAAGGTGATTGGTACCTTGTGTATCTAGGTGAGTGCGCAAATAAGTATGAATAAGAAGAGACGCTTCGAATACTAATAATTCACTTCCTGCTAACATTATTCACTTTTCTTTCGCCAACGCTATTTATACGACTACAACAAAGATTATTGCTATGGTGACGTTCTAAGATATGCATTTCAACACGACTTGCTGCTTCCTCTCGAGTCCGATGATACATCTCCGCGGATAAGTAACGTCGCAGTATATAAAGGGCACCTGTGTTCATATACAAATATATTTAATCGGTGATGCGGATGGAAAGACTAATGGTGTACGAGTGGGAGCCTCAGAGGTTTTGGGGAGTGTCAAACAAAAAAAGCGAGAAATACAACCTTCAAAAAATGTGTTTCGTTTAGAGGTTAGATTCAAATGGAGAAACCTCGAGAAAAAATGTAATGAAATTAATGAAATGAAATTTAAAAAAAAAAAAAAAAAAATAGAAGCAAATGAAAAAATGGAAGGAGTGAAACATTTCCCTATAAAGGAAAATCATTTAAAATCAAGGAATAATGTGTATTAATAAACCTGATATGTGTGTGTTTATGTGCGTGTAGACATTTCTTATATAGGTGTTTGAGAGATAAACCAATAAACTTCAAATGCCAAAATTCTTTGGTTTTCTACCCATGACCCTTTATTCAAGGGTCATGGGTAGACAACTAGGGGGTGCGCTTATTAAAATTTTGAAAATACGCCAGCACTTTCATTGCTTTGGTTTGTTTTGTTTTACGGCATATCAACCTGAATTGTTTTATGGCATATCAACTTCAAACGTTTTACGGCATATCACCCTCAATTATCATACGGCATATCAACCCCAGATGTTTTACGGAAAATCACCCTCAATTGTTTTACGGCATAGCAACCTCAAATGTTTTACGGCATATCACCCTCGATTGTTTTACGACATATCAACCTCAAATATTTTACGGCATATCACCCTCAATTGTTTTACGGCATATCAACCTCAAATGTTTTACGACATGTCAACCTCAGATATTTGACGGAAAATCAACCTCAAATGTTTTACGGTATATCAACCTCAAATGTTTTACGGTATATCAACCTCAAATGTTTTACGGTATATCAATCTCAAAGTGTAGAAATACATTTTATGGTGAACGTACCAGCAATAAATTTTCATAGTAGAATAATTGCCAGCAATACGTTTCTGTAAAAAAAATATTACCAGCAATAAAATTTTGGAAAAATGCATTACCAGCAATAAAACTTTGTAAGGAAAAAATATTACAGCAATACATTAAAAAAAAAAAAAGATAGTACCAGCAATACATTTTTGTTAAAGAAAATATGCCATTTTAAAAAATAATACCAGCAATAGATTTTTATTAAAGAAATTACAAATGCTCCCATGACAATTAAATTTCAGGATTAAATGACCCATAAAAATTTGATATGACATTAAACAAATAGAACAAAGATATTATTAAACGGGTTTGACGCCATGCATGACAATCATATGAAAGTTTCGATCTGATGAGGTTATTCATGATCGTAACACGAGTTTTAGGCTAATATTTGGTTTTGTAGTAATTTGCGCTGTTGGCCGAATCTGTCTCTAATGGAGCCTATTCCATGTTCAATTTCCACATCTCCGATTCTAAATTTATTTGAAGTGTTTAATTCCAACACAATTCTTTGAAATGAGAAAAACGCTCTGACTTTTATTTGATATTCCTCTGTTTATTCGAGAGACAACAGTAGGCATTATGGGATGTAAAGAGGATTTTCGTATTTTACTTCATTTTTAAATTTCTTTGCAGACCATTAGACCAAATTCATTTCATTACTTATCGATTCTAGTGCTTACAACTCAAGAAAGAACAGCCCTTTCAGAAATGATAGGGTCACTGGAATATGTAGAGTTGTTTCATCTTATAGGCAACTTTAAATTAGTTCAGGGCCATTTATCCTTTCCTCATTTTTCCAAAACCCACAGAACTGTGGTTTATACAGCCACTACACTTGGCGGACGTTTGCAGACACAGATTTGAAACCGTAATTCTGAATGTTTAAGTATGCTCCCCGCCAGGTTTATGCACGGATTTGAATTCAGAGTTGCCCTTCTTCTATACTGGAGAATAGATGGATACGTACCTTTTCTAAGGGTATTTGTGTTGAAATTGAATGTCCCGATCTCAGTCATAGTTCGAACTCGGTTTGCCAATTTCCTTTACTAATCACCTAACCAATACTCCACCCGCACATTCTAGCATTGCATCACCTTAAGTAAATATAGTTTACGCGTTGATTCCTGTTATTCAAAGAACGAAAATACTTTCGATACACTTTAATCGTCACTGAAGTGATCACTTCAGTCAAAAGGCAGAGCTACATAAATAAAAGAATAACCTAATTACGAAGAAATTATTTATTTTACGTAACATACATATTATTATTCTTTGTCATTGCACTTAATCCAATCACTTTACGAATCGAATAAATCGAAAATTTCAGACCCAAATCCAGATAACTTTTACATCGTTTATATTTATATTTATATATATATATATATATATATATATATATATATATATATATATATATATATATATATATATACTAAGATTTGGTGAATATAATTCTGGAGAAATACTCCAGATGGAGAATTACACTTCAAATGGTTATGATGAACGAGGGTGTAGGATATGAACGGAAGACAAGATGGAAAGTAGATAAGATTATGGGGATAAATAAGGATTAACCCTTGATTTCAAGCGGTAGTGATCGGAGAAGTATCCACTCAGGAGTCTGTTCCACAAAGTAGCAGTTCTTGAGAAAAGGCATTCTGATTGGATCATCTTATGTTTCATCTTATGTTTGAAACGAACAAAAATTTTAATTCTAATTTTCAAGACAAAAAGAAATCCTTCTCCATTTGAAAGACTGGCACAATACAACCTTTTGGTTTTTAATCATTTCGCCCCAAGCAAACTTATAATGCTACTAAGACACAAGGGGTTACTGGGAGTGAAAGAGAGTAAGATTTTAGAATGAACCGGTAACCCAATCCTAAATAGGAGACAAGGGAAAAAACATCTACTCTTGTTCATGAAGCCAGGGAGGAATATGACTTAATTCTTTAACCGGCTCTTTTTAAAATTTGTCATCCTAAGATAAGCTTAGTAAATATTATTGATATTAATGAAGAGTGGTTTCCCCCTGTTTCGTTACTCTCCTCTTTGAGAGAGCTATTTCTGTTTACTGGGACTATAAAAGGACACTATACGTGAACTTTGTATTCTCAGCTGAATAAAGCTTTCTTAAAGCCTATACTTGCGTACTTTTGACATTACAAACAATCTCTTACGTTGAGGTTCGTTTATTCATTATCTTTATCCTACCTAAGTAATTTATTGTAAGGGCTCGTTTCAGTCATGCACAAGATTGTAAAGATGTGTGTGTGTGTGTGTGTGTTTGAGTGTGTGTGTGTGTTTCTGTGTGTACTTGTTCTGTGAAGAAATCACAAGTAAACGTGACCGAATGTTTGAGCCAACTGGCTTTCTAAAGGGTGTTCCAATAACTTGGACCGATTTTAAATGTGAATTAAGTTTAAGCGTCTAATGATTTTTTTCTTTTTCTTTCAGATTTGGCGGACATTTGGGCGATA